AAGATGAGACCAGTGGTGAATGCAGGCAAGTATTTGTATTCAAGAACTGTACTTACGTACAAAGTACAAATGTGAGGTTCTGGTACTTCACATGAGCATTTCCATTTCATGGTACTTCATACCACTACTCTGCTACATCTCAGAGGCAAATGTACAATTTACTGTTGTTTACCTGTTCAGTGAAAACCTGCATTTCCACGTCTGGTGATCAACTGACGAAGGAAGAAGACTCTCCCACTCTACGTCTTCAGCAACAGTCCAAAAGAAGAGTATAAATCCATGCTCTCTCCAATCATCTCACGACCCCTCTGGTTTATCTTGTGACCCTTTGGAGGAGCCCGACCCTTAGGTTGAGAACCACGGGACTAAACTAACTAACTATAAGAAAAATAATTAAAACCCCCAAGAAAAAGCTGGTTTTACACTGTTACATCACTGCGCTGATAATACCTGTGTACTTTTACTGCAGTCGAATTTAGTAATGGCAATGGTAATGGAGTATTTTGAGACTGTGTTACTGGTACTTTGAGTACTTTCATAATGTGAATAACACATGTAAGTAAATCTATATTTTCTCTAGTTGCCAATAGTTTGGTGCTAATGAAGAGGCGACGGGCTGACGTTGGAGGCCTGGCTACACACGGTCTGCTTGGTTCTCACCGGGGCGAGATGGGAGGCTGCTACTCTGGCAGCTCTGGGTCCAGCTCAGAGCAGCATGGTGGTCTAGTTTCATAGGCAACAGGTTCACAGGGACTTAACACATTTAACCACCATTGTTCCTGAACATGAACCAGAGGTGTCTGTTATCCATAGTCTGCACCAGCAATCAGGTGCACACAGAGCACAGCATGCAGCGTCCTTCCTGGGACAATGGAAGAGATTTTCTCAAGATTTTCCAGGAAATTCCTGGTGCTCAGCCCTGGTCTTGACATGTGTAGCCACATCTTCCTGATGAGCTTTGGTTAGTGGCACAGAGAGCCGTGACAGTGAGACAGAGAACAGCCAGTACTCCCTCTGATGCAGATTTGGAAAACAAGGGCATGAAATTGAGCTGGATAAAAATGGAATGGAAAAGACAAAGAATAAATAACCCACTTTTCCCTCCAGTGGGAAACACAGTGAAAGGTGAGAGAGACAGAGGGACTGGTGATGCTGTAGCACGATGCTGAACAGGTTGTGCTTCTGTAAGATGGAGTAAATCTCTGCAGTTTAACAAAGTAATACTACAAAGTGGTCACCGTGTGCAGTCACATGTGCTACGTGGAACGAGGGATGCTGCGTGTGTGTGCGTGCTTTTCCTTCAGTCGCTTGACCACGCTCTGCCATTTGTGTTTCCAGTCCGTGTTGTGTGCTACCTTTTAGTGCCTGTTCCTCACAGTCACAGTCCTGCAGTGTGAGTAAAGGTGACGGTGATCCTGATGTCCTCATCCATTAGCTCAGATCTCTGTGCTGAAGTCACTGTAGATGACAGATAACGGGATGCTAGTGACAGCCAGGCATCCATGTTCCACATGAATCCACTTCCCAGTCTTCCCAGAAACACTTGGTCTTATGGCTCCACAGGTTTCTGGACATGGCTCCATTCAATGAGGTGCCAGACAAAGGCAGGTTTGTGATGAGCCACTGACTCGTGAGTGATCCTATTTCTTCCCATGTAACATTTAATATTCATAGTGTGGATGCTGTAAAGCATCCACACTATGCAGGTGTACTGGCAGGTGTACTGAACACACAGTGTCCCTCCAAGCTCCCAGCTGATTTCTATAAGGATGGTCGCTTCGTTAAGACTGGATATGAGAGTGAGATGATCATTGACAATGTTTCCAAGTCTGACGAAGGATTCTACAAGTGCAGCATTTTTGGAACCCAGGGAAACTGACTATCCTACAAAAGCAGGCTGCAGTGATAAAGAATACGACTTAATTTTCAGCCTCAAAATTACCCTCCCTTAATTAAGTTCCACTTTGAAATGGAGGGATGACAGAATACCTGAAGAAAAACATTAATATAAATACCACTATAGTTGTATTATAAAAGACAGACCACAGCAACAACAGTGTCAAAACTGAATACATAAATAAACACAATTACAACAAGTGTCAAATCTT